CACCTTCCAGTCTTTGAGCTCCATGCAGACAGAAACTGTATTAGAAGTGTCATGTCCGTGCCAAGCACAGTGCTCCTATGTAATTACCAGCGAGTCAGCAGAGCGCAGAGAGAGCCGATACCCACTTCCTTCCACTTTCCTCGCCTCTTCTGCCCTGGGGCACCAGGAGTGCTCCCTGACGCGCTAGCTCAGGATTGAGAATCCTCTGTGGATGAAGCAGCCTCATGGCTTTCCCCGCTTCTATGGCTTCAGTGCCCGCTCCTAGCTCCCGTGGTTCACTATCCACACTGCAGCCAGGAAAAGCTTTTCTAAAAGCCAACAATCTCAGCATGCTCATGCGTCTGCCCTGCCTAGTGTCCTTTAGCACCTGAGTAACCATCCAGATTTGATGCCCCGGTTTATAACCATTGTCTCGGAGCACTCAAAACTGTCCTGGGCTGGACAGCCGCTCTGGGACCACTCTGCACCTAAGTTAATCCATGAGGGCTCTGCTTCATGCCTGGCCTGGCCATCCTCTTTCTCTCTTTGCATCTACATGGAGCTTCCTAGTTGCTCCCAGATGCTGAACGCAGAGTTCTTGCTATTCTTCCTTCTGCCTGGACCACCTCCTGCCCTGCTGGGCTGACTCCTGGCTCAGGGCTGTGCGGGATGCTGTGTTGGGAGGAGCCATTGCCGGCCCTCACTCTGTCAGGCACTTCCTTGTGCTCCCAAGACTCTTCATTGCTGCCTTTGTTGCCCTCAGACTTCCACGTGCTCCCTGCTAGACCGAGCTGTTGGGTCGGCAACGACACCTGCTCACCACACAGTTGAATGCTGGTTCTAAACCCAGGCTCTGGCACGTGGAAGACATTGGCAAAGTCTTTTCTGCACAAGTGAAGTGCAGTGTCACATGGTGGGAGAGGAAGCCAGCTGCACATGCAGCAGACTGTCACTCTGCACCTAAAGTTGTGGGAAATGTCTAACGTGGTGACGAGCAGAATGTCGCCTTGTTGTCCCGGTTGGTCCTGTTTGTGACAGTGAGGAAAATGATTCTGGGTCCCTTGACTGGAAAGGTTGTTCTATGTAGGAGACACTTCCAGATCCTCATCTTGGTCCAAGAAGCCAATATTTGTAATCCCAAAGTTACATTATTGGAATCCCATCAAGTTGATTCCAATCTACCGCTTACAATGCTACCCACGGCGAAAATTAGGACACTAAATTATATTTTCAATCATTGGGGAGTCAAGGGGCTCTAAGTCCAGCCACGAAGATGGCTTTCTGGAACCAAGAGAGCGACCCAGGGCCTCACCCGGTTTTTATTCAGTGGGGGAGTGGCTTGAGGAGGATTGACTGAGAGTTGTGGGAAGTAGGTGACCATTGTGAGCTGAGCTAGAGGGTGGCCTACATTTACCTAAGGCCAGTTGATAAACAGAAGTCCCAGCCAGCGCTGTACATAGGAAGTAGGGTCAGGCTCAGTGAGAATGGAGACAGTCGCTCTTCTTTCAAGGAGAGCTGCTCAGGGGGTCCCCCACAGTTCTAGGACAGCATTCGGTGCTGGTGCACACTGTCAATTCCTGGAAGTTTTGCGAGTGATAATGTCACAAAACAAAGCGAAGAGCAGATGTTTGCAGGCTGTCAAGCTGGGACGCTCCTTTCATTTCAACTGTGTAGTGACAGGTTTTAAAGTTAGTTACTTTTAAGTGGAAGTTAAATTTATTTTTATTGGTTTGACAAATTATAGTTTAAATTCCAAATTCTATTCCTACATTAATAAGAAACAAATATAAAACAGCTCATACTTCCAATAGGATCATCGTACTATGCTATTTTTCCATTTGAAATTTTATGCTTTGACCTGTTAATTTGTACATTGTTATTTGCTCTGCCAAAGAATCCTGACATTATGGCATTGTGTCCCACATCCACTGACCAGAAAGGATTCCCGTACTCTCGGAGGATCTGTATGCTTACTGTGGCACCACTGTATCAAATGAAATAGGTTAAAGCTTTGGTGGTTTTTTTTTTTTTTTTTTTTTGTTTTTGTTTTTTTTTTTTTTTTTTTGATTATAGTAGCCATACACATTCTTTACAAAAACAAAATTATAAAATATAAAGAAGAAAATGAAACCCATCTATGATCCCACTTTAGGTCATTGTGTTAAATATTGTAGAGTTTGTATTTTTAAGGGTTTTTTTTTTTTTTTTTTCCTCTATATATGCTGTCAAGGCAATACAGGTTTTTGTTTTAAATGAAAAGCATGTCATTCTACACAAGGACTTTTGGACGCATTTTTTTACTTGAAAAGTTTGGGAACTTTCAAGGAGCAAAATGGGCAGATTTGGGGGGAAGTTTTGCTTCTCAGTGTTTTGGTTACTGTCTTTTCCTAGTCATCACAGTCATCAAGAAAAAAATATATAAAAATCCATATTCCTCTTTGAATCATTTGGCTTCATTTGCAGAGTGGGAACCACCCTACCTACTTGGTGCAAGAAAAGATATGATTGTGTAAAATGGTTGTTTACAAGCATAATTGTCTAAAGGGTGAATTTCAGGCTGGGCCTCCAGAAGTGAGCCTGCCCCTCCCTGTGACCAGGAGGGAGCCGGGGGTCAGAAGCAGCCCACAGGGTGACCTGCTCCGTGGACACGTCGGCTTGCTGCCATTCAGGGAGCTGTGTCATCCCTACCACTTACAGTCCCCTGGAGCCCCTTGAGCTCTTGGCTCGATCTAGGCTGCCCAGAGGTGGATGCTGTGTGCCCCCCTCCTGTTTCTGTACACCCAAACCTTGGAAGCCGGAGGACGAAAATGCTCCCAGCAGAATCACGTAGGTGTCCCCTGCCTCATTTCGGTCTTCAAATTCCACGTTAGTGCCATGAATCAGGAGGACTTAAATCACATCTGGAACCCTAGCTCTAAGGAAGGTAGCAAATGTAGCTTTTAGGTTTCCAGCCCTTGCCAGGGGGGCAGCCCAAGCTCATCTTTAGGAGGCTGGAGTGGCAGGTGACAGTCACCATGATCACCGTGCAGGGCTTTGGACCCTTCCCTGTATGGAGGAGAACTTTAGGCAAGATTGAAAGGGACAGAATCTGATGGGCAGTACAGACTGCTACAGTGTACTCATCTTTCTTGCTAGTCCTTTTTGATTTTCCTGTTTGTCATACAAAGCATCAATGTGTCGCTCTTGTCAGTCACCAGTAGCCTCCTCCCTTTGCTTTGCCCAGTGGTGAATTCCAGGCTTCACTTATGTGAGGTCGGCACATTGACAGGGCAGCTGGCTCCTGCAGCTCCTGGGCTCTCTCTGCATTGATTTCCAGAGCCCGCTCCCTCCTGGTTTCCAGCTGCTTCCTGCCGCCGCCGCCTCTCTGGCTCTTTTCATTGGTGCCTGGGACTCTAAACCTTACCCCTCATCATCACATCTGGTCTATGGCTCGAAGTATCCTGAACCCCAAACAGAAGTCCGCTTTAGCTATCCCCTGTAGGGGCTTTCAGACATCTCAAGCTTAGCCCTTCTACGCCCACGCAGCTCTCCCATCGTCCACTGTGGGTCTTCATCCCTGGTTCTGGCATCTCCGTCATTCCAGGTTCTTAAGGCAAACCTCAGAAGTCATCTTTGGCTTCCTCCCTTGCCTTACAATCCTGTCTAGTATATCAGCAATTCTGGTTGATTCTTCCGCCCCAGACTCTCACAAGTCCAGTGCTTCCTGCTGCTCCGGGCAGCCGTTCTTCTTTCTTGACCATTCCAGTTCAGATTGCCTCCGTGTGGCCTCCCTGGAGTCGCAAAGCAAGCTCTGTCCCCTGTCTGCTCCAGGAATCCCAGGGGATTTCCATCTTGCTCAGGAAAAGTCAGAACCCTGACCACAGCACTTGGGCTTCCCGGCAAACTTCCTGACCTCTTGCTGTTGCTGTATGCCCCTTCTGGGAAAATTGATTCCTAAAACATTTTGCTTATCATGGGCTCCCCTTGTACACTGTCTGGGGGTGTGGACGGTGCTTAAGGCACTCTTTAAATATTTGTGAAGGGACCAGCGTCCAGACACCTGCCTCCTCCTGTGTTCATCTAGTTCTCTATTGGCAATTAGTTCCTGAGGTCAAAGTTATGCACAAATGGCCAAAGAAGGTTTTAGCAGCTTGTTCTTCTGCCAGTGGTCCATGGGAATGGCCTCTGCTGACACCCTCGCCAGCACCATGCCCTCGTGACACTGACTTTTCCAGGCCTTGGGCTCACTTGTCCATCCCCACTCCCTGTATGTAATTGAATCCTCCCTCCTCCACACTCCCCTCCCTCACCTTGGTGGGTTTTAGTTTTCTTATTCTCATTCAGCGTTCTATTTGTTTTGAGACAGGGTCTTACTCTGTAGTTTAGGCTGATCTTGAACTTACTGTGTAGCCCAGGCTGATCCAAACCCTCAGCAATTTTCCTGCCTCAGCCTGCTGAGTGCTGGAGTGACAGGCAAGCCCCACCACACTGGGCTTTTGGTGTTCACCCTAAACACCACCTCCTGGGAGAGGCCTGCCCTTAAAGCAGTCCCCAGCGCTGCATTTTTATGTCACCCTTGTTTTTCCATAGTGTATCACCTTCGGATGATTTCCTTGTTGTGTGTTTGCCTCGCTGTGCTTCTTCTGAGGTGCACGCTCCAGGGCATGGCCGCGCGTCCTTTCCGCCTGTCTCCAGGGCTGTGTGTCGCGATGGGGCACGCAGTCAGCATGGCTGCTTTTCACAATTACCAATGCACTAGGCAAACATGGGTGTAGCACGCTTTTCCCGACTGGCAAACCTGGGCATCTTTCCAGTATGGAAGTCTTTTTGAATAGCAAATGCTAAGAAGACCCAGAAATTTAAATATTTGCAGCCTGTTTATGTTAGACAAGCTGTACTTTAATTCAGTTGTTGCTGATGAGCAACATCAATTCCTAAGTTGTTGAAGACTATATTCTCGTTAATGCCAACATTAGTATCAAAGAGTATGATTTCTTTTTAAAAATTGGACTTAAAAACTGATGCTTTCTTTTGCCCTACAGCTTCTGGAGAGAACCAACGTTGGGTTTGAAGAGTCCGAATCTGGTGCTACCAGGAGTCCACTGCACTTAGCGGTAAGCACATGACCGTGGGCCGCTTTGCTGTTTCTGAGAGAACTGAACTGCCCCTAGAGCCAGGCTGCCCACCACAGCGAGTGTAACAGCGAGCACTCAGTGCTGAGGAGCGCAGAGCTTGCCCCGAGGACAGCCCGGCCGCAACGGCGCCCGTGCCCTCCAAGTCGGCTTCCTGGCTGCCTACCCTGCCTTCACGTTCCCCACCTGTAAAATGGGGTACAGAAAGTCTGCCATAGTGTGCCTCATGGGCTTATCATGACTTTTAGCATCTTTAAAATTCACAGAGAACATTTCACTGTAAGAGGTTTGATTATAGACGATACACAAAGGTCAAACCTATAGTAATTAACTGTGACCTTTTTAAATACACAAGTGTTAGCATTTTTAAGCATGGACTTGCTGGAGTAAGGTGGGGGTGAGGCTTCGAAGCTTTTCTTGGGCCTCCGAGTCCTGGAGGAGGTCGCAGGTTCCCGCACTCATGCTGGTGGCAGGTGCGGGACACAGGACGAGGAGCAGCCTGACCACTAGAGCAGCTTCCTGTCCACATCCTGTGACCCAGGGGAGTGTGGCAGCTCCGTGGTGACCCGACTCCCCTTGGGGACCAGGTGGGGCACACTCCCTCATTGGCCCCAGGGGTGTCCTGCTCATGGTGGTGAACAGCTGTCTGCCCAGAGCCACACCCAGCCAGACACCCACCTGGCCTGGGTGCTGCTGAACCTCAGGTGCAGAGGTGGTGCCGAAATGCTCCCTTGCTTGACGAAACCCGGGGCAGGGCTCTGGGCAGGACAACAGGGGGCTGGACTATAGTTCCTGTCCTTCTAGTTCATGCCATGCACATGCAAGGCTTCCGCTGTCCTAATGCAGGGCTAAGAGGCGGAGTTTGGGAGGGGAAAAGAGTCATAAGGGCAGGCACTCATGGGCACCCCACAGGTGAAAGGAGACAGGCCTCGCACAGGGGCCAGATGCCCATACCCTGCTGCCACCTGGGCCCTCCCTCCCCTTCCTGTAAACCTGGCTCCCCACATGTGCCCCAGCACACAAGCTGACCCCTCCAGACAGCTCCTAATCCAGACAGTGCACTCAGGCGCACACACATGCGCGCACAGTGTCAATGTGGTGATGTCATCCACCTATGCTCCAGCAGGCAGACCCAGAGGTAGCAGGTGTGGCGGTGGGTGTTTGTACAGGGAAAGCTCCCACCGTTGCTCCTCTGAAGCCCTGCCCAGCCTTCTCTGCACCTGGGACACTCTCCAGAGGCAGCTGTCCTCTAGCGAAGGTTGTCTTGGACAGAGTTCCCCACCTGTCCGAAACAGGGAAGACTGGCAAAAAGTCTCTTTGCTTCCAAAATTGCTGTCATCGCTCATTCACTTTCTCCCCGAAAGGGCCTGCTGCGTGCTTACGATGTGCCAGGCACTTGCAGGGCTGTGTGTGGCTCCTGTCTTGTATGGATGGAGCTGTGACAGCCAGGGAAAGATTGGGCTATGGTGGCTTGCAGCCTGCAGGGGCCAGTGGACAATAGGGGAGGCCCAGCGGCCATTCCTGTCTCTAACACCTCACCTGGCTTCATGATTTCTATATAAGCTAAGGCAGTGACTAGCGTAAAAATTGAACATGGGCAGAAATGTTACACGGAGTCAATTTTCAAATGAGAGAAGAGATTCAAGCTGTGGACGCAGTGCTCGAGACTGATTTACGCCTCGACGCAGAGCCTTCCATTACCTGGATATGGTTCCCCCACCTGCGAACAGAGGAGTGAACAAGCAAAGGGTGCCTCCTCCCCACTCTGGCCTGTTTAACTGTGCATTGTACGATCGTGGCCAAGCACCCAGCCACTCCTGTCAGTTTCCTCACCCGTGGGAGGAGGAGGACGGCAGGCCCCGCGGTGGGGACGGCCTGTGTTCGTGCACGTGAAGCACCACGCACAGCATCGGGCTACACAGACGCAGCCAGCCAGCTCCATGCCGTCATTGCTAATGCGGACAGAGCCCTTTACTTCTGCATCCACTCATGCCCTCTTACACTCCGGAGACACCCTGGGAAAGGAGAGCCGGCTAATGTCCTTGCACTTTTTCATGGGCATAGCGTGACAGATGGCGGTGACCACCATGAGGTGGAACCTGCGAGAGGGAGAGTGGGGGCAGAAGGTGCTTTGATCTCAAGGAGCTTCACCTTTAGGGCTCCCATCCAAGTCTGGCAGAAGAGGGTCATGGACATAGGCACAGTGATCTGGGATCAGGGAGGCTTGGCATGCCCATAGGGCAGCAGAGGGGTCTCTGGGCTGGGCAGGGTGGCAGCAGGGTTGTGATACACTGCAGAGGGGCTTCGGTGGGAAGAGCAGCACTGGACCTACAGGGCCTTTCAGTCCTTTGAAAACACTTTGTATTTTACTCTAAGCAAAGCAGAAATCCAATGGGCGGTTTTGAGGGGACAAATGACATGACAGGACTTGTGCCTCAGAAAGGCCACCTTACCATCTGTGCTAGATTAGCAGGCGCAAAGTCAGTAGCCAGGCAGTGAGCGGAAAGCCAGCAAAGGACGGTAAGTTTGGCCTAAAATTGTCTGGTTTTTCCCCTTGAAATGCTAACTCACTTAAAAGAGTGGCTGCAAGAAGTAGTAGACTTCCTGCACGTCCTCTGTCTCGGGGCCCTGACGGCAAGCGATATGTGAAAACTAGGGCCCAGGCAGAAGGGTCTTGGCAGGGAAACGCAGCCTGGCACCCCAAAGCCGAGTGCTATGAGAGGCCCAGCCTGCCCAGAGCTACTTAGCTCCTGGCGCAGTGATTCTGGTCTCCAGAATTACCAGCCCAGTAAATGTCACCAGCCTTTTCCCCACACGACGGACAGAGGTTAAGAAACAAGGTCATGCAAACAAAAGCCTCCAGCTGTCGAGGTTTCCACATGGACTGTGAGAACTCGTGGATTCCGTCCAGATCTTTACCCTGCCCTTGTTGTCCTGGTCCTGTCTAAAAAGCTTCAGAGAAGTTACTTGTGCTGAGATGTTTAAGTGACAGAATGAGATGCTTTAGAGAGGTGTTTACTAACACAGTGCATAAGTGTGACAGGGACCCCAGGGGAGCCTCTGTCCCCAGGGAGAGCCAGGAGCTGCAAGCCAGAGTGAGGGGAGAAGCGAGTAGCATCCTGCAGGTGCCAGGGCTTCTGTGTCCTCGCTGTCAGCATATCCAAGGGCCAGGGACAGGCGAACGTGAGAATTCCAAAGCTACCCTAGTTAGCCGGGTTCCACTCATCTTCAGATTAAGCCTCTTTGACTGAAACACGACGAATGGATTTCTCGTTTGTTGTGAGGAGGGGGCGAGGCCCAGGGATCCGCTGCACGGGAGACGCGTCAGCACCTAACAAGCGTGCTGTGAAAGGACTGCTGCCCCAGCCAGCACTGGCTCCTTCCTTCGGGCTCTTTCCTGCACGTTTCTTCTTCCCCCGGGTGTCTTCCCTTTATTAAATCTAAATATGTCGGCCGTCGTGCTTTGTACAGATGCACGCATCATCAGCCGCCAGCTCCATTTTCCTAGCGAAGTGACATTAACGAAATTAAGCTGTCCGCTGTCCTTGTCATAGCAGTGCCTGGCGTTTGCGAGTAGCATCTGGAGCCGCTCTGTCCGCTGGAGCTCGCTGCCCGCCACGTGGCTTCGTGATTTCTATATAAGCCAAGGCAGTGACTAGCGTAAAAATTGAAAATGGGCAGAAATGTCACGCAAAGTCAGCTTTCAAATGAGAAGAGATTCAAGCTGTGAGTGCAGTATAGAAGACTGATTTACACCTCGATGTAGAGGCTTCTGTTATCACAGCCCTGTCGTGAGACCAAGTTTCCAGACGGACTTGAAATCAGCTCTGGCTGACACTCGGGGAGGGTACATGGCGACTCCTGTCTTCCTTGTAGATGTTTGGCATTTCCCATGATGCAAAGTTAAGGAACCGTGTACCCAATAGCTACTTTGTGCCTTTTCGCACTTGCTCTTGAAAGCCCATAACTCGGGCTGCTCCCCTCAGAAACCCAGCTTCCCACACAGGCCAGACAGAGCTATGTCCTCGGTGCAGATGAGAACAAGTGTTCCCTGTGCCAACTCAGGAGAGAATTAAGCAAGGCAACACAGGCGCGAGGTAACAGAAATCCTTTCATCAGGAAAAGATAGCTACTGCTTCAGAATTTAGGATAGAATGAAGGCTTCCTGCCCCACATGGGAGGGCTGGCACAGCAGGTAGAAAGGGGTGACTGAAAATACGGTGAGACCAGATATGGTGGCACGTATCTCTAATCCCAGCACTCAGGAAACGGGGAGAAAGATTGCTGCAAGCTTGAGGCCAACTTGGGCTACAAAGTCAGCTCAAGGCCAGCTTGAACTGCACAGCAAAACCCTTAAAAAGTGTTGAAAATAAAAATAAAAAAAAAAAACTTATCACCCTAAAATCCACACTACTCAAATGCATCCCACCCGAGTACTCCGATCCCCTGTAAACACCGACTCCGTCACTCTCGACGCTGAAGCAGTTCTGGGCATTCTTTCTCACTAGTGCCTGCCGCTGCGCTGTCCCAGCTGCCTTGATGTCCTGAACAAAACATCTCTCTTTCATGGTCATTTTGACTTGGGTGGGAGTCAGAAGCCACACTGTGCCAGGTCCTATAAATACGGTGTGGGTTCTTTCGAGCCTGCCTTTCTGCTGGATGGCACTCACAACACCACACACTGGGTTGGTTTTTTTTTTTTTTTTTTATCACACTTCCTGAGGACACACATGAAGGAACATTCCAGAGCTGCTTCTGAACATGGCAACAGGATGGGATCAGTGTACTGGAAGTCGGGGGGAGGGTTTTAAGAAGGATTCAGGGCAATGTGTTCTTTACTGTAAGAATTTTTTAAAATGACTACATTCACCATGTATTTCGATCATCCCCTGTAGGTCAGAAAGGTAGATGTAAGGTTTGATCTGCTGTTGCACAAAGGGCCACGTGCACAGTGAAGGCCCAGCAGTCCCCCAGCGAGTCCCTGTCGTGCAGCTTTTTGCCTCAGACCTCTGTTCACAGCACTTCACCTTGTGCTCGGCTGTCTAAGGGGCTGAGGTTCCGACTCAGTGTTTCCCATTCTGTTCTATTACATGCAAACACAAAATTATTTAGTTTTAAAATTATTTAAATGGAATTACAGAGAAAAGTGTGTACCTAAATTATAAATTTTAGGTGATAGCAATGGGCTCAGAAGTGCAAGTGCAAGGCCAGCATGGGCCACACAGCAAGACCCTGCCTCAGAAAACAAAAAACACTGTCTAAGAAACATATTTCTGGCCGGGGAGATAGCTCAGTAGAATAAGTACTTGCCTGGAGAGCACAAAGTCCTGAGTTCAATCCCCAGTATCACAAAAAAGAAAAGAAACATATTTCTGTCACTACTGGGGCAAATGGTGGTTGCTATTGTATTCATTCATTTATTCATCCGTCACATAACTGTTAGATGTCTGCAGCTTTCCGGGCATGATTTTAGGCATCCCTTCAATCACAGACAAAAGAACCAATCAACATCTGCTGACAACAGCACCGGGCGCTGCACGCCAAAGCACAGGAGAGAGCAGGCCCAGTGGGGAGAGCAGCGTGAGAGTTAGAGAGAACCTTTCCCAGCCCTTGTCCCAGTCCTGGAAGGGTATATCTACAATCCCAAGGGAAAGGCAGTGGAACGCTAGCGAGCGAATCCCAGTCTACCACTTCCAGTGTGGCCCATAGTAAGAATAAAGACACAATTATATGCCCCAGGTTGGGGGAGCCAGGGGGGCCCTGAGTCCAGCTAGGATGATGGCTAGCTGGAACGAAGGCTTCAGCCTGGCCAAACCCAGATCCTATTAATACGTGAAGAGGGGAGGGGCTCGGGATGAGCGACGGTGGGAATGGTGAGAAGCAGTGAGGGCCGTGAGCTGGGCTGGGGAGGAGGCCTCTGCAACGCACAGAGACGAGGAGGCTACGCCGCGTCCTCTGCGCCACACACTTCTGGGAGGTACTGAATGTTTTAGAGCTGGAGCTTCAGCTCTAAAATGTCATTTTATGCCCTGGGCAGTCATAACCTCTGTCTCAAGGCAGATCCCAGCTGACAGTGGGAGCGCGGCTCTCCATCCCGGCCTGGCTCACACGTGTCTCTGGGGGGCCATGGGGCCACAAGCGCTGCCCTGTGGCCTTGCTTCGAAGACCACACACCACTGCCTGCCTGGACCAGTTTGTGTTGATTAAAACCCACTGAGGAGACAAGGAAACGCCCCAGCCATCTCCTCACACATCGACACTTGGAAACAGGGCCAGGTTCAGCCAAGACACAAACAGCGCTCTTCTTCTGGGGACAGCTGTCCAGCTGGTCATCCACAGAGAATGGGGGCCATTGCACCCTAGGAGGAAGGGGTGTTTTAGAAGTCCCAGGAAAGCCACCCTGGCTGTGGCAGAGCTTTCCAAGCGGAAGAGGGAAAGCTGCAGGGGTGGGTGTGGCTGCACCTGAGTTGGGGAGGGCCCTCGCGTCTGGGGCACGCTAGTCAGAAGTTCTGCCGGGTGTCGTCACGGGGGAAGACTTGTCCACTTATCCACTCTTTAATCTAGGAGTGCTGTGATCCAATCTGGGTTTTGATAGATTCCACTGGGCTGTGTGTTGGCCCGGTGGTAATCGCCAGGGAACAAAGATGGAAGGGGATGCTTTTGCGGGGACAAGCGGCTGACTGTAGACAGACTGTAGAGTAGAGACTGTGAGGAGAGCCTTGGAAGTGGCATGGGACACTCCACTGCTGGCCACAGGACGCTTCCGGGGGAATTAGGAGCAGGATGTGGGGAGCTGCCCTCCAGGGCAGGCACAGCAACGTGGGGTGAGTTTCTAGCACCCTGTTGCGCTCTCGTCCCTGAGCGCTTGTTCAGGGCTATCGCCTTGGGCCCAGGAGGCGGGAAGACAAAGAGGACACCAAGGTCTGAGGCCTGAGCAGCCGGGAGAAAGTTGTTTTCCCTGAGAAGGCTGTGAACAGAGCAGGTTTGGGGAAGCTAAGTCAGAAGTCAGGATGTGAGGCCTGCTGGACGCAGAAGTGGAAGGCCCAAGAGGCTGCTGGAGATGCACATCTAGATGCCAGGGGAGAGAGTGGGAGGCGTTAGCACGAGGCTCATTGTAGTACACGCCATATGTGATGTAGATGTTGAATATGTAAAATAGCCCTAATCATTAACCCAAAAAGTCATGAGAATTTTTAAAACCGGAATAAGAATCCAAGTTCCAATGAATCCTTTAAAAGGGGGTTTTGGTGGTAACAAAAAAGGAAACCCCAAAAAAAAATTGAAACGTGTTTTAAAAGATAAGATGAAAAAAGTGTGTATGTTTATTCCCTAGTTCAAAGCAAGGCACCACTAATATGCTTTTCTATATCCTTCTAAAATTTTCTACAGAGTAAAATATATAAAGAAGAGATGTGTCCATGTGTATTTGCTTTCTGTATAAATGAGGAAACACTATGCATGCTGCCTGTAACTGAGCTTCTCGCCCAACATTTTCGATAGATGCTGTCAAGTCACCCTCTGCAAATGTCACACCAGTCGGCACTCCACCAACAGAGTGTCAGATTGCTTTGTTCGCAGTTGTAACTGATACTAGATGTGACCCAGCTTTCTAATTATTGCCAGTCTGCGAGTTGAAAAATAGTACTTGAAAAATTTGCATAGTTTTTCTGTGTGTCTATTAGCTTTTCTATACCCTTGATACCTTTTCCTAGTTTCACAATGGTTTCTAAGAGCTTTTTTATATTAAGGAAATTAATCCTTTGTGCAAAACCTTTTTTCAAATAAACTAAAACTTGAATCACAGCCACAGTGAAAAATTAAATATGCAGGGGACTTTGCCAGAGGCCTGGGGACAGGCTTTTCCTGACTCTTTACTCTCCTTCCAACCCATTTTTCGTCCCCTTTTATTTTCAACATGCTCTTCTGTGTAAGTGCACATGTGTGTGCGCCCCTGTGTGTGCAGGGTGTGCATGGTGGGTGTGTTGGGGCAAGTTTATAGCTTTTACCTTGGAGATTAAATAGAAACTGTCTCTCAGGCTTTCAGTCTTATGTTTTAGTAGTATACAGCCTCTTCATCTGGACCTAGCGTAGGCCCCCATGACAGATCTGCACATGTGTGATGTATGTTACAACCTGAACGTGTGGTTTCACTGTAATCAGTGGAAGAAACAAAGGAGGGGAGGAAGCGTGTCATCTACACGCGCAATGCTGCACAAGGCCAGGGCAGCGGTCGCCTCTCCTCCTGGCCATGCTGAGCAGCAGCTCTTACTGCTCCATTGGATCAGCAAGAACCTGGTCGCTCAGCGCAAGGAAGACGCTCGCCTGAGGTCACGTGGTTAGAATCAGCCGCGCCGTGCTACAAAGGACGGTGCCCTTGCCTTGGTGGCCCCGAGTCAGTGATGTTTCCAGTAATCGCATTCTCTAGTTTGGCTAACAGAAAAGCCTCCTGGAAAAGCCTCCCGTGCCGTTGCTGGGTATGCCATTTGGAGAGAGCCACACATTAATTCATGCCGCTGTTTGTCCACATTAGATGATTCGATTGCTGAATAGGAATATAGATACATGAATGAACTAAGCGTGTTTGAGCAAACTGCCTGACAAAACAGAACGAACCTGGGTGCAATCATGAGGTTTGGGAGTGGTGGTTTCTGATTTACCTCTCCGACTTGCCTTTTGTCAGCAGTGACCATAGGGCTTTTTGGTTTTTGCATTGGGGGTGGGGTTGAGAGGGTCTTGCTGTACAGTTCAGGTGGACCTCAAACTCACAGCAATCCTCCTGCCTCAGCCCCCTGAGTGCTGGGATCACAGGCATGCACCACCACAGTGTCTTTCCAGTGTGCCCTTCGCAGCAAGGGGTCTCTTCTGTGGCTGAGAGGCCCACCTCCTGGGCAGTGCCGTGTGGGCACATGTGTGCACTGCCTTTAGCTGCTTTCTTCTCTGCAGGCCTACAACGGGCACCATCAAGCCTTGGAAGTCCTCCTGCAGACGCTGGTGGATCTGGACATCAGGGACGAGAAAGGCCGCACACCACTGGACCTGGCCGCCTTCAAGGGACACACAGAGTGTGTGGAAGCGCTTGTCAACCAGGGCGCCTCCATCTTTGTGAAGGACAACGTGACCAAGCGAACCCCTCTGCATGCCTCAGGTAGGTTGCATTGGGGTGCGTCTCCTGACCCACTTCCAAAATGCCTCTGACCTCCCTCTTCTCTCCCTTTCCCTCCCTCTGGTGGAGGCTGGTGCTCTCTGGGCAAATACCTTCTGCCTTCTTCTCCACTCAAGAGAGTTCAGAGCCTCGGGCTAAAGACCACAATGAGAAACTTTCTGAACAAAGAGTGGGCATGTTCTGCTGACCAGATCTCTTAATGGGTCAAAGTGTAGCATAAATGGTGTTGCTGGCCTGTTTCATGTGAGCGAGCCCAACAGCACATTGTCCTCCTGGCCCAAGTCACATTCTTGGCTTTGGCTCTGCTTCCTTGTGCATCACATGCAAAAATAGAGAATTTTTTTTTTAAACCCAAAACTGAATTTAGGACCTTGTGCTTGCCAGGTAGGTGCTGTACTGCTGAGTTAGATCTGTGGCCCAAAAATAGAGATCTTTAAAAAAAAAAAAAATCTGGATCTGTAAAAAGCTAAGTAATTTGTCTTTTCTGGGAATTTCCTCCAGTGCATGGGGAAAATTACCTAAAGACACTTGTGGATGTACAAACAGATATAAAATCAACCTCGGAGGTTTCGGGCTCTGTTAAGGCATCAGACCTTTGGGCCCAGGAACTCCAAGGCTGTCACCCTTGAAGAGGGAGTAGGTAGTGTTTAGCTGTTTGTTAGACAGACAACACTCTAGCAGTGATTCTGCTTTCTAGCCCTCTGCCTGTGGATTGAAACCTGGTCCCTGAGACACAGTGAAGTGCCCTGAAAGCACTTTTCAGAAGACTTTACGATGCTTGTGACTTGGGAACTCTTTCTAGCAGAGATAGATCTTGTAGCAGTAGTTCCCTCCGCATCCCTTTCCCCAAGAGCCACAGAAGAGATACAATACAAAGATTTTTTTTAAAAGAAGCTGGGTTTTGCCTGATTACTTGGACATGACTGTTGTTGAGAAGAACTTCAACCATGAAGTCGGTGATGGCTGGCATGACTGAATCACAAATTCTCGTTTCCCATCCCATCCCATCCTTTCACTCTGTAGACATTCTTGGCATTATTATAAAGTCCAGATTGTGTTCTCCCTGAGGAAGTCACTCTGCTTTGTGACCATGTGATTCCTGGCCATTGCCCAGGGCCTCTGGAGGCCACTCTTGCAAGCAGGTGAATAATCAGGAACAGTCCTTGTCACCCATCTGCCACCGTGCTGTAGGTGTGGTCCCAGGGCGCCTCCTGGTGGCCGAGGGGATTCACTCCGT